TTTCAACTTGCTTTCCACCTTTCTGACTTTTTGTGTTCTTCTCAAGCTGAAAAGAACAAAGGTAGCGTGCAAAGAGCTTCACAGATGTGGCCATTGTAACTACCCACACAGCACCAGGCAAAGTCCACATAACATTGCACATTATGTGACATATATTGAGAGCAAAAAAGCCAGGGAAGACCACACATTAAGCAATTCTCACTGGCTTGGCAGCAACCATTGAAGGTTATAGTGTCTATGGCCCTAGCCGTAACAAATGCTCAATCCACGGCTGCAAATATTTGCAAGTATGAGTAATGTAAAACACTGAGACATCCCTGAAAGGTTCTGTACAGGGCTGTGCAACTGTTTTTCACAACTCTCCAGAGCCTGTAGCTAAGATGTAGGTGAATTTCCTTTAGGCAATGCTTGCCCAGATCAGCAAGAAAAACAAGTGCATTGCTCCTCAGCTCAGTGAATTGTGCCTCTCAGAAGGCCAGCCTGGTGATTGAGCAGATTGAGCCAGCTGATATTCACCCCAAACGAGACAGCAAGAGACAGAGGGAAAAACAAATGGGACCCCATCGCTGCTGAACTGATGTTATCTGCAGGCAGCTGTGCCTTTTGTGCAGAGCACACAGTGCCACAATTTGCAAATGTCTCTGATAAATTGCTGCTGTCTTTGCAGCGCATTGTAGAGAACTGTCTGCTCTCAATTACCAGGACTGCTTTTGAGGCAGTAATGCAGTAATGTCATCTACTAAGGAGTTAACCTAGTCCATAGGAAAATTAACTTCATGTTCAACAAAGCCTTCTCTACATTTTTCATGTAGTAGCATATGGAGGAATTACTGAATGGTGATTGCAGTTTTTACCTCAGGCTCCTTAAATCTGAGGCTGGTATGTGTATCATTAGAAAGAGGAAAGTAAAAGTGCAGATGTACAATATGTTTGAACACATCAGAACAGACGTTCTGTTGCAGATCATCATAGATTAGTGGGTAGCCCTGGGAACAAAGCAAAGAAGTGACCTGGGGACTTGAGACTGGTACTTCAAAAAGAGTTAAGTAGCTGAAAACACTTCTGGAGAAAGACACAAAACCTAGCTGTGTACAATGTGTACATCAGTTCCAGTCCCCAACTTGAACACTCTCATCCTGACACAGTTCTTCTAAAAAGAACACCTAATAGTAATTTTTAAGCATTAGTGAATTTGTAACCACTTTTCACTTCTCACCTTCTTTTCCGGCTGAACATGGACTGCTGGTACTGAGGGTTTAACTTGATCTGTTGTATAGAGACAGCAGTAAGCACAGTGAGACACCTCATTCCTTTTTCAAAAACTAATTGTTCTAAAGGTTTCAGCTTTGGGCTTGCATTTCATGCCCCTTGACATTGTACAAGGTGAACAGTTTCAAGTCGTGCTTTATGAACAATACACTGTCATAAAATCCAAGCAAGCAAGCAATTAAAAGATGCTGCCTTGTAAACTGGCATTACCATTTACTTTCATTTAGAAACAGTTGTATTACCACTTTTTTCTGTCTAAATGGCAAAAAAGAGTCCTTGTAAATGCCAGCAATGTTTTTTTGTTCTCCATATTCTTCTCAGTGAATTCTTCATTTAGGTTGGTTTTGGGTTGGGTTTTTGGGTGTTTTCTTTGTGGAGTGTGGGTGATTATTGTTGTTACCAAATAAGAGTGATGTGATTGCTACACAAGGTCCCAGAGAGGAGTCTCTTGCTAGATAAGAGCAAGGCATTAGGCCAACTGCACTTTTTACACTTACACTAAATCAGATCATTTTCACAAGGCACCATATTCTAAATCCCCCATCCTTTCTGCAGCTTGTGTTGTTTAAGCAGATCTTTTTCTCCTCCTAATATTTTGCAGAAGACTGGCCCCTGCTTTAACTTTTATGAAGTTGCCTGTGTGTGCTTTGAGAGGGACAGCACACGAACACTGTGCAAGCACCAAGGATGGCAGAGTACAGTCTCAGCCCTTCCTAGCTGGGCAGGACACCAGGACAACTAGTATTTCCTCAGGTTAACTTCATGAAGATTGACCTCGTAATTCTTGAACTATTTTCTTTGCTTGTTTGAAATGATAGATTATATCCTCTATGACAAAAATCTGACATAGCTGCACTTTTGGCAAGCTGCCAAGGATTAGCTTGACACCTGTGTTGTATGCCCAAGAGTGATTCAAGTTTTACTACACAGTGACTATGGCCCAGACTATCATCTTACACCTGTTTTACATTGGGTTCTTTCTACTCCCCTCACTGCTGTCTCACCAGCTGTAATTTTTTGGCTAAAGAGAAGCCTGTGCTATATAATTATCAAAGGACAGTCTTGCATTTCTAGTTCAAACAAGATCAAAATGTACATCCTTACTTTACAGAGTTTCTCTGTGCATTAGTTTTCCATCCTTTGCACATTTTTTTCTGTACTTTATATTCCATTTTTTCAGAAATGGTCCCATGTTGTTTTATCATCTAAACTTCTGTAGTTCTTTTTTGGGGAGAAGAGTAAAATAACTAGGTAGAATATACTTTCTCTGATATTTTAGCACCAATCCCATTTTTTAAACTTTGAACAAGTGGAAAATTGCTCAGGGGGAAAAAAAGTGAAAAAAGTGCATGTTTTTACTGGGTTAACCTATATTCAATATTTTTACAGAAAACTGGGAAAAGTCTAAAGTGCAACTGGAGGGCTTGAATATATGCTATAAATAAAGCAATTGCTTCTATTTGATAACAAAAAGGTAATCCCATGAAACAAAAAATTTTTTTTTCTTGATACGTCGGATTTGTCAACATGATATACAGAATTCTTACACTTATGCCAGTACTTTCTACATGTTCCAGGCAGGACTGTAATCCTCTTCTACACTACAAAATGAAACTACAAAAATGTCTGCCCTGAAGGTGTCACACTATATCACACCAATGACAATCCAACATCTGCTGTTAAAAGGGGCCTTTTATAGCAGTGCGATCTAACCAGTTCAAACCAGTCTATATCTTTCCCAGTTCTCTTCTCTCCCCCACCCCAAAAAAAGACATAAAATTAGTTTTGGGGAAGAGTGGGCTGTCCAGAGAGCCACACTTGTCCCTGTGCATGGAACAAAACAGAGCCAACTGTCTCTGTCAGCAACCAGACCATGAACAATACACCACAAACTGGCATCCCACTCTGTTTCAGCTACTCTTCTGTATTCAAAGCACCACAGATTTCAAGTAAATTACCTTAGCTACCTGGAGGTGTGTTAAAGACTAAAGGGCCATCACCAGCCAGCTGTCTTTTTTTCTTTTGCTTTTGTCAATTGCAAAGTCATCTTTAAAATATAAAGCACTCAAAAATTCTGTACCATTTTTGTTCTTTTGCTGCCTGGTCCATATTCTTCAAATTACCATCTCTAATGTACAGCATTATCTCTTTCAATTACTTCCTTTTCTGACCATGACATGATCCATCACAAAGTCAACCACATAACGGCTTGCTACTGAATTGTGCAAAGGCTGCTGACTCTATTGCAGAAAGCTTTAGTGCCACTGCAGAGGCTGATCTTAAAATTCTGCACCACTGTCCCCATAAATTCAGTAAACACACACTCACCAATTTCGTCATGATGTTCAAGCACCACATTGCCAAAAAGCCACGTGAGGAAGGAGGGTAATGGCAAACCTCACTGCATGAGTACCTGCCAACTTTACTGACTAGCTGGAACCGTCTGGAAAAGGACTACACTAATATGTATTTGTCATTAATTAAAGCTAATATCTAGCACAGAGAGTGCATACCCTGACCTTGGGATGCATCATAAGCATGATGCTCTGAGAGGCCTTTCTTGTGTGATCTTATTTCACTCCCTGTGTGAGGGCTTGTTTTGTTTTCTTCCAACACAGAAGTATTAAAAAAGTTATGAGAAGCCCCTCCTGGCAGGAATTTTTGCAAGTAGTATTAGGGGCAGTGATTGGACAGGGAGGCAAATCAGCACGACACTCAGTGCAGCTCTGCTGTCTTCTGATGCGAGTGGTCCTGTCATTTCTCAAGCAGGTGCGGGTCATAGTGATTTCAAACAAACTGCTCCAACCGTACCAACAAACTAGATTCCAGCTCAAGGCCAGCAGCCTGGCAAAATGCCACAGTTGATATATACATAGTTGAATACATACGTGGATGCTTTCTTCCATAATGCTTATTGTCTAGCATAGCTGTTGCATAAACTTTTAATAGCAGGGCAGGGATTTACTTCCCCTTCTGGTCTGTGGCACACTTTTCTGCTGTTCTGTGGTGTACTTTGACTAATCATTTCTTAGTCGTCTAGATGCAGACCTTTAAAAACACTAGGAGCTCTCAGTCCCCCTTTTCAATTGCAAACGATTCATTTTTGGTGAAGTGTGGCCTCCCTATTCTTCTGCCAGCCGTTGTGTTTGTGAAAGGACCGTCTCAAATTTCTTGTGTGGGAGCAGCTGTTGCTGGACCAAGGCAGCCTTTTCAGAGCCCTGCCGCAGCCGCTTTTCACTTCTCCTCCTCCTCCTCCTCTTCTCCTTCCTCCCTCCTTTTGTCTCCCGCAAAGCAAGAGCCCCTCTGACCCTTCGCCTCCCTCCAGCCTCTCTCCTTTGTCGGCCGTTGCAGACAAGTTCCACCCTAAATCAAGCATTGTCTCCATCTCCAGAAGCCAGCACGTGCCCACATCCCCCTAATCTTTTAATTTCCCCCCAGGAAAAGGCAGCTGTTAGCGATACACGCAATGCACAGCTGTCAGCTGGGGCCTGCCGCCTGCCTGCACTGAACAATGAGGAAGGCAGCGCCGGGGCCGAGGAGAAGTAATATCTACATATATGTGCCTTTGGCAACAGTTGGCAGCACGTGCTCTGAAATGCGGCATTGTCAGAAAATCCACCCCTGCCTTCCCCCACCGCTGCTCCGCACACGTATGAGCTTGAACTTTGGCTGATTTCAGAACAAAACACCCGACTTCAAAGGGCAGGACTCCCCGGATAGCTGCATTATACCTTCGCTGCTGAAACAATCCCCTGCAAAATTACAGGGTATGAAAAGGACTGGCCTCCAGTAGCCTGGCACGTGGTTCGCCCATTCTCCTCTTTTACACACCAGTCGTTTGAGAGTTTTGTCCTGGAGAGAGAGCAGCGTAAACAATCTGGAGTGGCAAAAAAAGACCAATACATCACAATTTTACTTTTTCCCTGTATGGTGAGGAAGGCTACATTTCTAAGTGAAGCAGGGACATATGTGTATAAAGTGTCCTAAGGTATATGTGGCTGGACTTGTGATCTCGCTGCCTTAATGTGCAAGGGACAGTCACTTCAAATCAAGAAGAAGAAAAGGGTAGTGCTTTAGTACCATAGAAAGGCAAGGCATTGTTGTGTCTGCACAAACATAAGCACAGTTGCATGCCAAATTTCTGCCTGCAATGACAGCAAATATGCACACAAATGATAAGTTGTACATGCAGTCATTTGCCAGTGCAGTTGCCACAAGTGAGCTTGCAAATATAGTAGTTACAAATCCCAATTGGTCCTGTAAATATGCTTGCCTTTTCCCTTGTACCATGGTGCATGTAACTTAGCAAAAATCATATCTCTGTGCTTCTCATTTGCTCCTGACAAAACACAGAGATTCTTAAGGAAATTCATTTTGCAAACGTATGTGTTGTGGAGAGGATATATAAAAACCTCAAACACTTTAAACTGTTTCATTTCCTTTTCCCATGTAGATTGCTTTAAAGTATGCATGTATTCCTCTCACCAGCCTTCTGGCTAATCATTAAATGGGAATTTGATTGATTTCTACACACGGTGGCTCCCAAAGGCTAAGCATTTAAAAAGGAACCATCTCATCTGTTCCTTTTGCAGAGATCTCTTGCATACTTTCATCTCTAAGCAAAGGAACAAACAAGCCTCACTCCCAAACCTTTCAAGACCAGAACCTTTTTGGAGTCAAGTGGACAGTCCTGGGTTTACTTCACCCCTCTCAGTCATTTTGCGTGATAAGGAATAACTTCTGTGTTACTGGTGCATATTCCCCAGCCTGCTCTGTACACGCGTTTTTACTTACTTTATCTTACCTGGCCTGTAATTTAAAGAACTTAAAAGATACACTCTTCTAAGCAGACCATATGGCATATGGTACACCTGACCCACGCTTAGCACCTGCTGAGCACACTGTGAACGTCACAGGCTGTTTGATACAGCACTCCTGGCCAGAGGGCAAAAACATATCCATGCATTTGCATGCTGGACAGAGGCCACGGTGATCTGACACAGTATCCTGACAGTTCTTCCAAGATTAGCAAATCTGTAGAAAGCAATGGGCTTAACCAACAAAGGAGGCCCCACATCGAAGAGACCTACACACATACAGACACCTCGGGGATCCTAATAGCCTTGCCCTGGTGAACAGGGATCCTCAACGAATGCAAACGTGCTTTGACTGGGGAATGTCAGCATTAATCATTGGGATGCAGTCAGGGTTTTCCTAAAGTACTCAGAGAAAGCACAAAGGCATGTGTTTTAATATCACTTGGGCAAATATAAGTGCCATCCTGACTTACCCCCATGTAGAACCAATAAGGGCAGGAAGCAACATGCAGTCAAAAACAGATTTCTCAAAATACAAATAGTAGACATCAAGTGGAAAGAGAATGCATGAAACTTTAATGCTCATAAAGGTTTAGCAAGCATGAGCCTGAAGAATGGCCTGCAAGATCCAGCCATTAATTCGTTGCTGATTCTGCTGGCCCGTGACTCACTTTTTCTATATGTAAACCAGTCCATTAAGCCTCTGTATTTTTAGTGCAAAGTTCGGTGAGATTTATAGAGCAGGAATAGCATGGAGAAGTATCAGGAGATGTAATTTGCACTAGATAATTTGCATAGCAAGATCTCATAGCAGCAACAGCAGCCTTTGTCAAAGTAGTCCAGGTATCCAGCAAAGGCAGAAGACGTCTTATTTGTCCATGTGGGAGTTGCAGCCTCTAACACTGGGCAGCTGGACAAACACAAAGAATGGAACCGCCAAAAGGATTTGTCTCTCTTATGCAGCTCAGGGAGAAAAATTTATCATGCATGTGATCAGCAAGGGGATATTTGTTGAAGACAGGGTGGCAGAGCCCTGGCAGTGTCGTCAGCAGTGGCTGGCAGGCTATAGAGGAGATCAGTCTTGCACCAAGGGCAAAACTAGACCTTGTGCAGAGTTAGTGCTAGCTGCAATGCCATGGACATCAGTGGGGACACTGAAGGGTTTCTCTTTTCCAGGAATTCTCTAACACAGACTTGGGGATTGCCCAGTTTAGGAGATTTCCATTTTACACTGTGCTGCTTCTCAACAATATGCCTTGATTAATCTATTTGAAATAAATTTGGCAGTAATCTTTCTGTCTTCATGTTGGAATGTTATCAAACAAAAAATAGAGCTATTATCTTCTTTCATTTGTAGCTCTCTCTCCTGTTACTGGAATAAAAATTCTCTGGCTGGGAAGAGGTTGCCAGGCTGGAACTGCCTTTATGTTCAAGGCTAGAAGAATCTTATGATTGCATATGCGTGGGGATGCTGACAACCCTCTAAGGGGCATATGTTTTTGCATACATATCTGCAAACCTACCCCTCACAGCAGAGGAAAACCTAACTCTCACGGGACAGGCTCTTTCTTCATTCACAGCACCCCTGAGGCTCCCTGTCAGAGGTTTCTAATCAGGCTGCAGAGCAGATTCTGTCGGGATCTGCCCGTGCATGGGGCTGGGATACAGGTGGGCTGCCCTGCCCGGTGCAGGGAGCCCAGCTGGGAGGTCCTTCTCCTGCCTTGCTGCTCCGTATGGTAAATCTGTGGTGAATTGAGCCATAAGTGAGTGCTCCAGGCTCCAGTCTAGCCTCGAACTACCCCAGCTCCATCTGTCACCCTATCTGGGGCATCTTTGCTGCATGATTGGCACGGGGCTTGAAAAGGCAGCACAAGACAGGCCATGTGGCAACCCTGCCGATGGGGAGGGGGCAGCGGGGGAGCAGGATGAAATATTGTGACAGGACACTTCAAGCCCCAGCTAATCACAGCTGCTGAGGGCTGAAGAGTGCTATACATCCCCTCGTATCAGGCAGTGCATTCCTGGCAACATTATTAATTCAGAGGAGTCCCTTTAATTTGAAGCAGAGATTAAGACTTTCCCCGGTTGGCCTCACTGCGGCTGTAAAGGCAACAGGCAGGGCTATTGTAAGGCCATTAGGGAAGAACAATAGGACGCTGAAAGGGGGATGCGGGTGAATAGGGGAGCGAGGGCTGGCTTGTGCCAGAGGCCGGCTCGGCTCATTACGGGAGCGGCAGATGGAGCGTGGCCGGGTTGCCGGGCAGAGTCGGGGCTGGCAGCTGGCGGCGGCTCCCCCGCGCTGCAGCGCATCCCCTGCGCTCGGACACGGCACAACAGGTGCGGGGAGCCCTCACCAGCCAATCCCAGCTTTCACAAATAATTAAAGGGTTTCCCTTTTTTCGCTTCTGCCTCTTCCTGCTGCCTTTGCCCCGACATTCCCGAGCTCTGCCGAACTGACATCAGGGTGGTAGGGAAAGCACACTGTCTTGTGCATTTCGTGGTCATGCCAGTCTGTGCAGGCATTGCTTCCTTCTCAACATAATGACAGCAGAAACCTGGTGGCTGTGCATGAGATGGTGTTATGCAGGTCATTAGACACGGTGAGGCACCAACTGATTCATCTAACCCCTCATCGGATTTTTAATAGTGTCCATGGGTTTTACTGGCTTCAGAGGAATTCCCTACCTTATGCTAACCAAGGTTTTTCTTTTCCTTCGTGTGCTTGAGCTCATAAGCATGTCATACCTGAGAGGAGTGGGTAGGATACTGATGGAAGTCCAGTCTTGCAGTCTACCAGGTGCTGTGGCATGTGCCAACGCCCAGCAGACCGACCTCTGCAGCTCCCTGACAGCCTATGCAGCTCTCTACCCAGCTGTGGAGCAAGGACAAAAGACCTGCTAGAAGACCTCTGCAGCTCCCTGACAGCCCGGAAAGCCTATGCAGCTCTCTACCCAGCTGTGGAGCAAGGACAAAAGACCTGCTAGAAAGAAGCCCTAGAAAGTGTCACAGAGGAAGTGAGCTTTTTTTTTCTTTATTAAGTTTTGGGGGGGAAATCACTTCCCCCCCCCCCAATTTTGCCATACTACAACCCCCAGAGCTTGTGAGGTTATGATTCTGGCAATCAGAGCTCCTAACTGGGGGCCTGACAGCTACCAGGAGAGGCAACACTCTCCCCTCTCCCCAGATGTGGCCCAGGGACAAGTGTATGAAGAAACTTGTTTGAGTTTGACAGTCCCCTGACACTCTGGGGAAGGTCATCCAAAAGATGCTGCTGAACATCACAACAGAAGTTATTTTATAAGCATCTGCTGTTTTATTTGAGTTTGGATCTCTTCAAGTTGCTTACAATGCTTTTGTGCAGTTCTCCTCTTCTACAGAGGAGAAAGTCCCACAATCTGAGCTAAGCTTGTGGATGAGTAACTTGGCATGGTCCCAGGTGAGTGCAGGACACACAGACCAGGCACTCTGCCTTTAACAAACTGATGTCCCCTGGTCTTTATGCTCTATGTTCCCTTCCAGTTCATGGCCATGCATGTAATTGTTGATTAAAGAGCAGCTGCAATTTCTTCCATGGAAAAATAATTTTAGGGAACTGTGGAGAGTATTTTTAGTTACAGAGGTAGAAACAAGGAGAAGGAGCCAGCATCCTGTTAGCAAGTCACTTTGTGCAGACCAGCATCAGGCCCTCTTTGGACTACTCACACTACACAGAACGCTCTTTGACAACAGTAGGGTTATTAAAGGTGACACCTGCAATGCAGCATGCAGAAAGAGGCCACAATATTCAAAGCAATACTGTTTAGGCCTTCTGCAACAATCTTTTTCTTCTCTGTACCCTGGAACATTCACCTTAGTTTCTTCTATCTTACCTGAGGTTTTTTATTAATTCCACACTATATGGTCTTCAGTTTATCCAGGATGCAACTCTGCTTTCATTTAAAAAAAAAAATGCATCAGAAGTGATTATGAAAATTGATTTGATTCCTTTTATTTTTACCACTGCTGAGCTATGATTTTTATCCTGATTTCTTATGGATCCAATGAGGACTAATCCACTCCTGCAGCACAGTGTTCACTCCCATGTAGCTGCAGCTGCTGGTAGGGACCTACTAAGTGTGGCACAAGGTGTTTAGTGGCAAAAACAGGGGGCAGGGACAGGCATCTGCTTACACTGACTTTGCCATTGAAGAGACCAGAGCTGAATAAGGCTCACTGACAGGGTAAGACATGAGCACTGTCCTGAGTCTTAACTCAGACCCAGCCAGGAAGCACATTTTTGAATCAGATTAATTTGTACAGACGGTTAGCTCTAACTTTTCACTTACAAACACAACTACTGTACACCCACAGAAGCAGGCAGTGGAAGGACCTAATGCTCAAATATAACCTTCTGAGAGTTGAGTCACCTGATCTGCATGAATTTGTTGACAGCCATGGTACCTTCTCGAAGGAAAGACAAAAAATCTTTTCTAGTTATTTATGCAGAAGCAGATGATTATACAACCCATTCTCAGGTATCACAGTAATCAAAAAAACCCCAGTAAACAGTTGAGCAAACATACAGATTTAGTTCCAGAAACAGATGCAAAGTGGGAAAGCAAAGCTTTCATATGTGCATCTGCAGAGGCTTTGCCCTGTGCCAAGATCAGTGTTATTTGCCCATCTTAGTTTTCAAATGCACTGCTTATAATTTGCAAAGCCTGTCAGAAAATTGAGAGAAAAATAGGAGGAGCTGTAAGAAGTCTTGCTCTGCAAACAGCTGATGCTCTAGACACATGGACTACCATTTTCTGCATAAAGCAAAGTTTGTGCAAGGAAGGATCTAGCTATCAAAGGGAGTTAAACCTGCTACAGAAAGCAGGCTAATTTAACAAGTGGAGAATCAGAAATTATTGCAGTCTTTTCACAGAAGACTTTTTAACTGCATATGTGCAGCAATCTGCTTGCTTGGTTTCAAGCATGTTTGAGACAGGTCCCAGAAGGTCTTTCTATCTTTCTCTTGTGAAACCAGGATATTTATTGCTGTTCATAACAACTCAGGGATTCAAACCATCACTGCCAGGAGCTGTAGGCTGCTTAAACTGGCCATTTAGTAACAGCCTTGTACCTACATTCCCCTATCTTATAATTTCATGTCAACATTAATTCCCTGAATAGTGAGATTGGAGGCCCTGAAGAACAAACACTTTGATTGCCACTGGAAGCTCATGGGATACGGGGAATAGTGAAAAATAACCATCTGTCTCTGACACTGTGTTCCCAGCACAGGGCTCTCTGTCCGTCACTGTGGGTGAGTTCACGCCTCCAACGACAGCAGCTTTGCTCTCTGACCCAGCAGCAGATTCCTAAATGCCAGCAAACACAAGAGGCAAGGCAAAGTCAACACACACACTAGCAGTGTCAATAGAGAGCTTCTTTCTGAGGAGGAGGCACAGGCCATAGCACTTTGCTGCTCTTTTGCTGATGTATTTTAGCCTGTGAGCCCTGACAGAAGTGCTAGCTGCCAGGGGGGCAATGCTGTGACTGTGTGTACACGCTGTGCAACACCTCTCTGGAGAGCAAATGGCAAAAATGCTGAAGACAGAGGAGATGAGCTGCATCTCACAACTCTGCAGTCTCTTTCAAAACTTGGAGGAAGGTCGAGAACTGCATGTGTATGTGTTTGTTCAAAGATGCACACAGCCCACCTTAAAAACCCAGAAATCTGTTTAGGTCATTCTGTTGTTCTCACTATCTGAAAATCTTAAATTAAGCATTTACAAGGTTTGATTTACAGAAAATAAGATATACAGAGAACTTCTAACGAAAGTAGCCACAGTCCTATCTGCCACTTAAGTGTTTCTATAGACAAATCCCTGTTTGCAACCTTTGTGCATAAGAATGGTTTACACTCAGCTCTGAAAGCAGTGACTGCAAACGAAGGCATGCCTTTCACATGTGCTCTTGTTTATGGGACATGGTGTTCACTTTTTTAAAATACAGTCCTAGGTCAGTGGACTGAAGGAGTTCGGTCACTGCCAAGGGCTTTAAAATGTGTTTTGTCAATAAAGGTTACCTTGACCCAATGTGTCCTCTAACAAGGCAATCAGATCAACATAACTGTCCTCCCTGTAATGCTTTTTCATGAGGCTACTCAGGGTGAAATACGGTGCAATTAATTTCTACCTGTGGTAAGTAGACTGTAAAGCCAGAAAAACAATCTTATTATGTAAAACCCCACTTGAGAGAGTGTTTGCCGTGTTCTTGTGTTTCAGCCTAATTTCATGAGACCAAAGGAGATACATTTATTCTGACCCTAGTTTCCAAATGACAAACTGCTCCTACCATTTTGTTTGAACAAAAGTCATAAGTCCCTTCAATCCATTTCCAGTAGACTACTCATCTTCAAAAAAATAATTTCCTGAGATTCACAGTTTGCAGAAATAAAGCCATTTTCTAGAGGATAACTATTTACCTGGACAAAAATGAGAAGTGCATCCACAAGAATCTCGCAAAATTCAACTAGTCCAGGTACAAGGTGCTGCATCTGGGTGAGGACAATCTTAGACAAGAACACAGGCTGGCAGAGCAGGACATGGGGTTTATCAAGGATAAAAAACTGGACATGAGCCAACACTGTGAGGTCACAGCCCAGAAAGCCAGTTTTATCCTGGGCTGCATCCAAAACAGCATGGGCAGCAGGGCCAGGGAGCAGATTCTGCCCCTCTGCTTTGTCCTGGTGGGACTCCACCTGGAACCCTGCATCCAGCTCAACACAAGAATGACTTGGACTTCTAGGGTAAATCCAAGGGATGCTATAAGGATGGTCAGAGGGGTGCAAAAGCTCTCCTAGTAAGACAAGCTGAGGGGTTTGTTCAGTCTGAAGAAAGAGAGGGCTTCAAGGAGACCTAACTATGGCCTTCCAGTACCTAAAGGGTGCTTGTAAAAAGGAAAAAGATGGACTTTTTATGAGGCCAGATAGTGACAAGGCAAGAGCCAATGGTTTTAAGCTAAAGAGCAGGTTTAGATTAGCTGTTAGGTTTTTACTCAGACGGTAGTGAAGAACAAGAATGGGTTGCCCAGAAGAATTGTGGATGCCCCATCCCTGGGAGTGTTTAAGTCCAGGTGGAATGCGGCTCTGATGAACCTGTTCTAGTGATGAGTGTCCCTGCCCATGGCAGGGGAATCGGAACTAGGTGATTTTTATGGTGCTTTCCAACCCAAACCATTCAGTGTTTGTTCTATAATTCTAGACAGTAATTCTATAATTCTACTTGTGCTTGGTCCGCAGGACAATCTGTGGATCTCAACAAGAAGTGCCATGCATTTTTTCTTCTATTCCACTCTGAGAACAGATTTACCCATAATGCTAGAGTAATTTGTACATAACAAATTGTACGGTACATTTGCAAAAAAGGTTCCCACACACGGTTTTAAAGAAATCACTGCATGCATACTTGTGCCTTTTTACAAAATGTGCACATACCTGCAGGTGATATTTCAATAATCTACGTCTGTAAATATGTTCATCTGTATGTCCATAAAATCAGCTTGTGCACCTACCCTCTGGTGAAAGTCAGGGCAGAGCTAATGAAAATTCCTTGCAGAACCCATCTCATGAAGTTGAAAAAATTCATACTGGTAAGGCTCTGAGCAGTGATTGATCACCTATCGTGATTTTTTAGACAACACTGTCTAAACTGAGTGTCAGGTTACAATTCACATCTCTATTTTTCTGAGTATATTTGGTTAATTCAAGTTCTGTATGAGTAAACTCAAGTGGATAAGATTTTTGCCTGACCAAAGCTCCTTGAAAACAATTTTGCTCTCCTGCCTGGCTGCTGTCCCCAAGTAGGGGTGAGCCATGGATGCCTCCTCTGTCCGCTGGATAAGCCTTGAGTGGGCATGAGGACTGTGTCCGGACTCATGCAGTACAACAGGAAGTTAGACAGACCGTCACAGTGGGCAGAGTGGCAGCTTTCACAGTTAATGCTGCAGAACTTCAAAGGGTGTTAGTGTAGCTACTGAGAGATTGACCTCCAAATTCACATTTACAAACAGCTTCCAAACACGTGGTAATCATGCAGCTTACACAGTAAGTTCAGCACCTACTGCCCAATGCCAGGGTGCTACACTGAGAAGGCTTCAACGAGGAAAACAAGGAGAGAGTCCTTTGTATTTTGGATTCCAGCTCTTGCAGTGTATTTTGTGCCTTAATAGTCAGCACTGGAAACAGTTATTGGGATGTGAATGATGGTGGTCCTGCTGCCCCAGTACCCTGAGCAGCACAGTACTGTGGTCAGTACCTTCTGTAACTGCAGAGGGTCATTTTGCAGCATGTTACTAATCAAGTGCCAGCTTCCTTGTGTGCTTGTAGAAAAGGAAACCAAGATTTGTTTTCTTCCTCTCATGATCATAAGCAGGCGTTGTTTTCACAGGGCTCTCGAGGAAAGGGACAAACAACAGTGTAGATTGTGCAATTTTCACAGTATTACTTCTGTCATTTCCCTCAGCTGCCTGAAACCTCTTTTGCACTAAAGAGAAAGCAACAACACAGGACAATTTGTACATAAACAGGACTGTGCAGTGTTAGATGAGCAAAAGCCAAGCTGGATATCGTAACTAGATGCTGTTCTAATCATCAGTTACTGTGGGAGGCAGGAAGCTGTTTTCTCTCTGCAAGCATTGCTGCTGTTGGGGTTTTATTTATCAGCACTTTGTATCCAGGAGTAAGAAGCTGCACATTGAAAGAGCTGTTACTGTTTTCTAGCTATCAGGATACTGCCTTAACTTATTTCCACTCTTCATCCCCCTTTTTCCTCCACCATGCCCCTCCTACAAGCACACCACCCTCATCTCTTGGACACAGCATTTTGCCTGGATAAAGTTTTGTCATTGACCCAGAGAGAGACTAAGATTTCACCAGAGTACAAGAGTAGAAGGAAATGGTATCATTCTCTCACACCAACAAGTAAAGTCAGCTTCAAGTGTTTTCCAAATTAGTGGAAACTAGTAAATATAAATATGATTTCTCAGGGCTCTTCACAAATGCTGAATGTACTCAATATGATTAAATGATAAACAGCAATGCTGGTGAGTTTGCATTTGGTCTGCTGTAGCAATAACATGGTGTGCTGCCAGCAACAGCACAGAATGAAATGCTGGGAGAGCAGGAAACTAGTGGGAAAGAAAAAAATATGCAAGTCTTGCCCTTTATGCTTTGCTGAGGGGGAAAAATAAATGAAGAGCACAACCTTTCACAAAGGGCTGACTCTGGGATCACTCTGAAGGGCTGGACCATGCAGGAATCAGTAGAGCAAGAGGTGAAGGCTCAACTGCTGCTGAGAAATAGCCTCTCAGCAATATGGGCACTGGTGCTCTATCTCTGCATTACTAATCCTGCCACATAGATCTGATATCCTAATCCCTTTCCTTCTTTTATGTCTTAGTTTCTTCCCCAGCTTCCAAGCTCTAGTAAAAGTACATTGGCCAAAGGATGAGAAACTGGATTTGGCCTGAAGAAACCAGTAACTAAAAGAACAACCTCTGATTTCCTAGAAGGCGTAGCATCCTTCTTCTCTGTGAAGTTGTTTCTGCTTTAAATCAGTAAAAGCAAGAGTGGAAGCATGACAGTCACTGCTGACTATGGGCTTTCTATTTTTAAACAGTTGCTCTCAAGAGACTGATCAGTTTGTGGCTAACTCTTTGCTCCCAGAGGTCAAGGACGAATGAAAAATATCACTACACATCTTGCACGAGTCTATGGCCTGTAGGACAAGGAGGGTAGAGAAGTAGGAAAAGGTGGACAGTGCATGGCAGGAGAGGACCAGCACTACTGGGCTGCCAGTGTGCAAAGCACTTCTCAGCTGTACTCCTGCAGGCCCGTGACGCCCCGGGCAGCCTCACAAGGAACATGAGGATCTTGGGATTCTTGCCAGCACTAGTTTCACACTTCCCAGAAGGCCAGCAGTGCAATGCTCGAATCAGTACTTTTTCAGGCTGTGGCAGGAGGAAGACTTCTCTCTGGGGTCACACCAAAGCAGTGGTGCTTTTTTTCAGTACTGCTCTCAAGACATTGGGAAATTCATCCTGTGAACTTGCATAGTCATGCACTCACAACATTTGAATAAACATTGTTATTCTCTGACTTGGATTAGCTCTGCTCCCTGAAACCACATCCACTTTTTATGCAGGCTGCCTGTCCTGTAAACTAACACAGAGATGTCTTAAAAAAACCTCAGGGGCCCTTTAGTGAGTAGCCTGCTAGTTACTTTCTTCTTCCCCATTCCTATAAGAATAGAAAACAATATCCTGTGAGGAACTATTACTGAACTCTCATTTTCATTTTTGCCTTCCTTCTCTCACCCTCTTGAGTTCACAGCATCTCTCTGTTTATACTTCCTGTCATGTTACTGTAGCATTCAGCTGTCTCCCCTCTCAATACAGCCATGACAGCTTTTTCTCCCTCTTCTATTAACAACTGCATTCATGCTTCACTCCAGCACCACTGGTGTAGTGTGTGTGGTGGGCCATCTGAACATACACATGCTATCACCACTTCTCCTACTTGTGGAGCTGTGATTGTTGAGGCTTGCCATGGCAACAGCATGCACAGGAACACTAGTGCTTCCTTGCAAGCTGGCAGTCATCGGAGGTGAGTTAGACATCACAGCCACACTCACCTACTCATAAAGTCCATGTTTGCACCCCATAAGCAACAAAACAAGGGAGAAATCCAGCACTCAGGGATGGTAGACAGGTGGGAATAGTCAGTGAGACTTTTCTTTCTGAAATGCCATCAGATTTGTGGGCTTCCTTGCAAGGAAATAGCAATCTAACTTTGCTACCCACCAAGATTTTCACAACCTATGAGAAGACTTGTATTAGTTGAAAATATTCTTGCACCTCTTCAGATGGGCATGGCTAAGTGAGTCTTTCTTGGCCCAGAGAGCAGGTGAACTGGCTTACTATTCTGTCCCTTAAAATGTGCTTTAAGTCTACAAGACGTAAGTCATAATAATAATCTGTTCATCAGCAACAATCAAAAAGGCTTTAAAAAAATACTGTCAGCAAAATTTGGCATATTGCTGTTTACAAGACCTACCAAAGAACAAGTTTTACACATAACAAATGCAATATTTCCTCCATAAATAGTCAGGTGACAGCCGTGGAGACCACAGGAACAGTTGAATGAGGGACAAATAAGCCTTTGTCCCAAGCCTTGAGGAGAAGGACTTTATAGTGATTTTTTGCATGTACCCATGGAATTCATATGCAGACGAGATGGGAAAGGCATCTGTGTAGCTGGATATGTGGCAAAGACTTTGTTAACAATCTCTGCCCCAGGTTGTTTGTAAAGGCAGATATTTGAGGTGGTAGTTAGAAACTGAGAGTAGGTGACAGGGTCACAGTAGGTTACAGAAAAATACGTTGGTATTTTTCTCTCAAACTAATTAATGGGTTTATACATACAGGTTAAAAGAAGAGTTGCTCTTGGAAACAACTCAATGTGAGATAGGGGCT